CAAATCCACTCTAAATTCAACCTGGAACACTAGGCACCAACTACTATATTCTATTTAAAAGACCCTGAAAAGGGGCTTTCTCTGCCTCTCCAAGTAGAGAGATGCATTCATTACTGGTAGGGTAAGGAGGGGGCGGGGAGGCAGGGAGGGGATCCAGATTAGAGAAGCACAGAATAAACACCTTTGGATATTTGCAAATCAGCTAAATTTATGTTTAATACAGACAATAACTATAGAAGTCAAACATGCCTCAGCTGTTGAAAAAAGAGGGTTACTGGTTCCCCTAGCTTCCTCCCTCCTCACCCTTCATTCATGAGTTCTGAACTTTGTGAGGGCTATATAATATATGTGCCTACAGGGATTGATATCTACCCAATCAGCAGGTATTATATGGTTCAAGAAAAATGCCTCACAATGATATGACTTAAAAAATTCAGATACTTCCATGTTTTAATTTATATATTTTATAATGCTAAAAATTTACAATCTTATCTCTAACGACATTTTATCATCTGCTATAAATCACTATATATGAGCCATAATAACTATATTACCAAGTCTATGAACAATAAATGATCAGCAATGTAGCCAACATTTATTGGTGTATCAAATAAGTCTAAATTATAAAAAGAAAAAAAATAATTTAGATGAATGAAAAGTGGACTAAGTTTAACTGAAATGTAACAATTTAGTTATGGTAACATAGCCCCCAAAAGAGTAACATTATTCTATTTAATTATTAAAGAGGCACGTGAGCAGCATTTGAATGCAGTACAACTTCTCAATTGAAACCAGCAAGCACATGAATTATTGCTCCTTGTGACTCAGGGTGTGATCTCACCCTAAAAGAAGCCTGTTATTTCTTACTGCTGGACATCAAACTGACCTGCTGACTGCTATTATCACTTACTGGCAGTATATGAAGCCTTATTCAGGTATGCTTAAAGACTTTCTCTCTGTTTGCAGCTCTTTGTAGTCACATTTTGGGCGTGAAATAGTTACTTTTCCGAACATATCAAGTCCACTGGTGTTTCAAATTCTTCTTCCCCCTTCAGTGCAAGAAAGGCACTACAAAACCATTTAACACATTGAAGAAGTAATTATCTCCCAGTATACTGAAGGTATGAAGGCAAATTCCCAAAGTGACATACAATTCTATGGATGTTTATGCCCTAGAATAACCTCTATTTTATCTCCCAGTTAAAAATGATGTCCATTTTTGAATTAAGCAATTTAGGGATTTACCTCTTGAATGAAACAGAAAAAACATTATAGAGCATTCTCAAAATATAATATTTCAAAGCTGTAAGGTGAAAGACTGGAGTTAACATATGAACGGCATCATCCAGGGTATGAAAATTCTCTATTTCAATCAATCCCTGGTCAGCAGTAAGGAAATCATTTAGTTTTAAATCTGGCAATAATTGGATTTTTAAAAATTAAGTGGATTTAAATAAAGTTAATTAAATTTACTTTCCCAGTTTGTGTAGCTCAGAAAAGGAAGAAAATTTCATTTCTGACTTTATATATAGACTTAATCCAAATACTTCAAGCCATACAATTGCTAAACTTTTTATTAAACTGAGTTTGGTAATAGTTTCTTTAAATTCAAATTATGATGTGAGAACTACTCATTGAATTAAATTTGGTTTATTCAGCTTGTAAATACAGCAACAACATATATATTTTTTTCTGGATGAATACCAGCTGCTTCTGCTTATCTTCTCTTATGCTCTCATCACTATCTTGCTCCCCTATCTCCCTCTAAAGATGAGAATTAACATAACTGGATACTTTGTTCCCCAAATTAGGATCTTCAGTATAACATATAAACATGAAATGCAGCACCTTCTCCTTACATAATAGTGGGGGGTGCAGAAGGAATGTACTTAGTCAAAACACAGTGTATGCTGTTTTGACTGTGAATGATCGATCACCTGTTTTAAAACTTCTTCTCTTCAAATATCTATTAACTATAGAATAAATTTCTAACTAAAAGCCTACCTTTACTTGAATGAGTAAAACTACCTGCACAACCATGTATATACGTTATCTATATACTTCAATGGATTATTTCAATTCCTAATATAACAGAGAAATTAAATGTTTTTACCTTCTAATCTTCATATTAAATCAAAATAAACACGTATTAAACTCCGCTGTAATATGATACCGTTACATAATATTTCCTGTTGGCATTTACAAACACCTCCCAATATCTTACACAGTGTGGCTAACTATTATTTAGAGTTAAACCTCTAAATTAGAAGGTCCACTTATTATGGGCATACCTGAAAAACAGTGTAGCAGCCAAAAAACACAACTTTTGCCAATGCAAAAGCTTTTTTTCCTTTTCTCTTTCTCCTTTCCATTGTGTTCTTAATTAAAAGGTGCTCATCATACTTTTCAATGCCCTTGATCCACCCAAAACAGATGTTGGAAGATAGCTGGACAATCAACTTATTATATTCCTGAATCCAAAACAAATAAAGTGTGGAGAAGCTTATAGCAAACTCAAACTCCAAAGTAAACTGTCAAATAAAAGCACACATAGTACGCTTCTCAACAGAAACACTTATTTTGGACATTGTTCTCATTTTCAAGTTGCCATTTTCCATAACTGTTTCACAGGAACCAGAAATGAAGATACTTCTATAGCAATATACTGCATTCAAAAAGAAAAGCAGTAATCTACTTTCCCTTTGTAAATAAAAGAATCTAAGCCCAATTCTAGAAAAGTGTCTTCTGTCTAAAATTTGCTTTTCTGTACTAAGGAAAATAAAATTTGACTAAAATGTATACTAATCATTATTGATCTTACACAAAATAGCAATTCTTTGAAAGTTGTAGGGCTGTATTTATTATTTTTTCAAACTCAGTAACAAAGAACTGAAATCTCAACTAATAAATTACATTTTTAAATATACATGATTATGTTGTCCCAGTGTTACTTTCAATGGTAACTGACACGCCCCGAATTTAACTGTACCAGACAGTTCTATCTGTCCCATCTCTGACCAAACACTGCTTCTCTGTTTCTATTCATTATATATTATAAGAGGTCTAAACACAGCCCAGTATGAGAAGAAAAATTACAATTCTTATAACGGTAAAGTGATGCATTCAAGATCTCTTTTGCAGAACATCCCCGTCCACGAGCATTAACAGGCATTTTTTGATAGAGCTAAAATACGTTGGCTGCAAGCTCATTACTCTAAGAACCTTCGGCACCCTTTTTTGCAGGTTTTCAGAAAACCCTCAGAAAAAAAAGGCACAATTAAAACCTTGCAAACCAAACTTGCCAAGAACCTTCTGCAATGATCAATAACCTTGGCTACACTGCCATCGACCCCCAATTCGTGGTCCTGGAGACCAATGCAGCAAATACCCAGGCAAAAGGCTGGGTAATACCCAAGAGAACTGCCGCGCTTCCCCTCCGCCGCCCTCTCTGCCGCATGGAGAGAGGCAAGGGGAGAAGAGTGGAGCGAACCTCACCAGCTCCGAAGATGCTCCGGTGACCTCTGGCTGCGCGGCGGGAGCTGGGCCAGGGAAGAGCTACTGCAGCCGCGGCGGGCCCTGTGGACTATGCCCCTGGTGCATTCCTC